TTCTAAAATCCTCTGGAGAAATCTCATTGCTTTTTTGTGCTTACTTCCTGGTTTTAGGACGCGCCACTGCAGCTCTCTCGTCTCCTCTTCACACAGCACACTTTTCGCGGCACACGTATTTACAGCCAATCAGCTCTGAATGATTTGAGATGACGTATGGTGGGGATGGTAGCTCCGTGCCCATCTGGTCATTATTTTTTTGCCACACACATTACATTACAAAATACTCTGAGCATGCGCAGTGTAGTTTTTACAGTCACGTTCACTTCACAGCGAGAGGAAGGGGCATAATCAGGTTTTGTCCCACATGGCTCTAAACAGCTCAATAGGCACACACTGTGACTGTAGACACACTAATTAGAAGAACACAGACTAAAACAGCAATGTACAGACGAATCAGATGATTAAACATGATCTTAAAATATATTTTATATATTTTTTTTTTTTTTTTTTGCATTTTTGTAATCATTATTTGTAATACTTTCTGCTGACACTAGGTGGGGCTGTGCCCCACCTGCCCCTAATGACCAGTCGCCACTGGATGTTCCTAAAACAACACATTTAACATCATCATCATGCTGCTGCTAGTCCTTTGACTCATTGTGCTGTCAGTTGACAATCTTTGATAGGCACCTGTCGGTCTCTTGTCCTTTCTGAAAGTCATAAAGATTACATTAGTCATTTAGATTACTTATGTCCTCAATTACCATGGGATTACTGAAACCACCATGAATTAAAGAAATGGTAGAAATTAATCTAATCACAATTTTGAAACCTTCCTTCCCATCCCCTCCCTCTAAATATATCAATACACATTAGGAAATGATGCTCCTGACTACCATACAAGTTTAAGAAGAAAATATTTGTTTTAAAGAATTCAAAGCAATAAACAACAGCAACACGCTCTTTAACCAAGGCAACGTTAGCCTAACATGTATATGTTAACAAGGCAGGTACGATAGCTGTTCACACTATCTATGTATATTTTCTACTTTTTGTAATGCTATTTTATTTCTATTTAAATCAAATCAAATCAGATCAGGTTTTATTTATATACACATTTTAAAAAAAATGTTGGTCGAGCCAAAGTGCTGTACATGCAAAAAATAAATAACACATTACTACAATCGCAAACAGAAGACGATAAATTACAACAGCAAATATAAAAATCAAACACACACACAGGGAAATGTCATGAGTCGTGCTCCGCTCTGACTAGAAGGCCAGGGAGAAGAAGTGAGTTTTTAGTGTTGATTTAAAAGCCCCTAGGGTCTGGGCCGACCTCACATGGAGGGGCAGAGTGTTCCAGAGCCTAGGGCCAGCTGCTGCGAAGGCTCGGTGCCCTCGGGTTTTGAGCCTGGTCTTGGGCACTACCAGCAGCAGCTGGTCAGCCGACCTTAATGCTCTGGTTGGAGTGTAGCGATGGAGAAGTTCTGCTATATAGGCCGGAGCCAGCCCATTTAGTGCTTTGAAAACAAATAAAAGGAGTTTAAAATAAATTCGGAACCGAATTGGAAGCCAGTGCAATGAGGCCAGAATTGGGGTGATGTGGTGACGCTTTTTATGGCCAGTGAGAAGACGTGCAGCTGCGTTCTGCACTAGCTGCAGGCGTCTAATTGAGGCCTGGTCCATACCCACATACAGAGCATTGCAGTAATCCAGTCTCGAGGTTACAAAGGCGATAATAACCCTTTCCAGGTCTTTAAAAGATAAAAACAACTTGGTTTTGGCCAATAGTCGTATTTAAAAAAAGCAGGTTTTGACTATGGTGCTGACCTGCTTATCAAATGTAAAAGCGCTATCGGGGCGGTGGTGGCGAAGTCGATAGGGACTTGGCTTGGCAACTGGAAGGTCACCAGTTCGAGTCCCAGCAAGACCAAGTGCTACCGAGGTGTCCCTGAGCAAGGCACCGTTCCCTACACTGCTCCCCGGGCGCCGTCCACGGCAGCACACTGCTCCTAACACTAGGATGGGTCAAATGTAGAGGAACAATTTCGTTACATAGTACCTGTACTGTGAAATGACAATAAGAGAATAAAAAAAAAAAAAAAAGGTCACTCCAAGGTTCATGACAGAGGGGAGGATGTTTTTATTGAGGGAAGCCCAGAATATCAACCGGAGATGCTGGAGGTTGGGGTCCAAAAATTGAAGATGTTTTGAATAGACGTCCTGTTTGAATGACAGGAGTAAACACAGCTGACAGCCGCGGTGAAACAATGCGAATATTCGCATCGCGTCCGTTGTGAGCGCAGCATAATGCAGTTTAGAAACCACTGCTCTGACGCTTTATATGGGCTTAGAGATGTCTCATAAATAATAATTTGTGTGAACATAAAAATAATTTGTGTGTAAACATGTGATTTGTAAATGTAAAACACCTTCCACAAATGCATTTCAAAGATTTGCAAACTCACAAATAAATGTGCAAATGTAAAACGGATCTGCAAATACGCCAAATATGTTTACGAATAAAAAAAAGATCTTTGAATATCTCTTTAACATTTACAACTTTCGATCAGGCATTTGTGAATCCATTTTGCTTGTGGATCTCAAATCTCTGTTCGTGGATCTCAAATCTCTGCGTGTGGATCGTCTTTTTACACACACAGAGTTTTGAGACAAACTTTCCGCCGGTCTCGGCTAAAATCTACTCGTGTCACTCGGTTATTTTCGGAAACCACGTGATGGCCTGCTGATGACGACATTTCCGCATGGTTTTCAAAGTAAGAGCATGATGGTTTGTTTAATGCGCTGTTTTTTTAATGAACAGCGGAACGTTAGATGCATTCTTTATCACCATCATCATCATGTTAGTGATACAGTTAGTTTGTGTTAGTTTATTGGTTCAACTTTCTTCATTGTTTTTTGTGTATTCAGTCAAGCGGGTCAAAGTTACAAAGCACTTCACATCTTATTAATCGGCCTAGTTTGACCTTACCAGTGCAGTGGTAAGGTCATCTGTAGAAAAGCACCGTATTTAGGTCAGCCTTCATAGTAAGGCTACATTAAATGTTATAATATTCATCGTGTCCTTTCTACTGTATATGCATATATTCCTGTCTATTGCTTTCATTTGTATTTAATATTATTATGTTTATACTTGTTTTTTATTTGTATATATTTGGCGTATTTGCAGATCCGTTTTACATTTGCACATTTATTTGTGAGTTTGCAAATCTTTTAAATGCATTTGTGGATGGTGTTTTACATTTACAAATCACATATTTACACACAAATAATTTTTATGTTCACACAAATAATTATAAGACATATCTAAGCCCATACTTTTAAAGCAACTTCGAGATTTTAACAGTGTGAGGGGCCCAAACGTCATGGTGGCCGAGGACGTACAATTATTTGTGGGGCATAACGGCCAGACCGAGGTGAAATTCCTACCTTGCTTGTAAGCTTTTAAGTTTGAATGATACATATGAATATAAACGTTTAAAGTGACCACAATGAAGCATAACATGACCAGAAAGAGACACAGAATGAACACAAAGGAACAAAGTTACTACAGAGAGACATGTAAAAACACCACCTGCTGATAAAGGACAACACAAAGAGGCTAAACTACTTTCCAACTGCTTTTTGAAGTTTCTATTACCTGGTACTCACCTGAAATAAGGTCTTGAATGACTAAACGTCACCATCTTATGTAACTCTGAGAAACATGAACCAGTTTACAATGTGCACATTTCTAATCTCAGCTGATCTGTTCATAGTTTACTGATCAGGGCGTCTCCATTTTATGAACCAGGGAGACATTAATGGCCACATTGGGACAAACAAAAGGGAATACAGAAAACACAAAGAGGCTAAATGTCTAGATTTTCAAAGATAAAACTCCAAATAGCCAAAAAGAGACATCAAATGTTACAAAGTTGCCCAAAATGAATACTGGACTGTGGACTTGAAGCTGCAGGTAATAGTTTTTTATACACATTAAAACCAGAGGGCTGTTTGGTGCACATTTCAAATTAAATATGTTAGTAACTCAGCTGATAGAGATCTGCTGTTCATAGATTACTGAATAGTTTGTCTCCATATAATGAACCAGGAAGACATTCAAATGGAAACAAAGGCGTATAAAATGATTACAAAAGGGATAAAAGAAAACAAAAAGAGGCTAAATATCTAGACTTTCAAAGATAAAACTCCAAATAGCCAAAAAGAGAATACAAAGTGACAGAAACTGACCACAAAAAATCATTTTGAGCTGGATTGTGTTGCCTGTTCCATGACTTCATGTTGACTTAAAGCTGTAGGTTATAGGTTTTATTCACAATCAAACCAGAGAGCTGTTTGGTGCACATTTCATTAATTTAATTAGTGAAATGCAGTGAAACCATACTTTCAGCGACAGAAACCATTCAAATACCACAATATTCAGCCTTTTCAGCACATGATGGGAAACTTTCTACTTTTTCAAAATATTTTATACTTTTTCAAAATATTCAGCATACATGTAACTCAATGGGAGGAACCTTCAAATCCTCTTTTACCTACACCGTGCGCCAAATGCTACTCCTTCCACATACTTTCAGCTAGAGACTTCATTCCAACTTTAAAATGATGACAAGACCTTAAGCTATAAAACACGTTTTACAGATTTTTTATATTTTTTACACTTTTTGAGATATTTAACTTAGTTTGGAGCTTGGTAAAGAGGCCTTCTATACATTTACAGTGGAGGAAACAAGTATTTAACCCCCTTCAGATTTTGTAAGTTTACCCACCCTTATTTTACAACTAAAAGCTCTTTTCAAATGAAGAGCAGGTTGTAACCGAGGCTCTGTGTAGGTCAGAGTCTGAGCGCTGCTCCTCCTCCTGGAATGAGTCAGAGTTTGATAAGCCCTCCCTCTTCTTCCTGCTCTCAGACACAGCCAGCTCCACTCTGTATTTCCTGGTTCCTCCCCTTCAGATCCACACTGAGGAGGAGGGGTGTAACCAACATGTGGGTAAAGTACAAGAGCTGATAGGCCACATTCACTGCACACACACATGCTGTTCAGATCAGCTGTCACACTAGTTACAGCTCTCAGGAAGTGAAACTCAGACACTCGCTGCTACTGAGAGGGGAAATGGCGCAGAAAGGAGTTCAGCTGGACCGGGAAATCTTATCTTGTCCCATCTGTCTGGATCCACTGAAGGATCCTGTGACGACTCCCTGTGGACACAGCTACTGCATGGACTGTATTAAAGGCTTCTGGGACGGAGAGCTAATCCACAGCTGCCCTCAGTGTAGGCAGAGCTTCACACCGAGGCCTGTCCTGCTGAAAAACACCATGTTAGCAGCTTTAGTGGAGGAGCTGAAGAAGACTGGACCCCCACCTGCTCCTGCTGATCACTGCTATGCTGGAGCTGAAGATGTGGCCTGTGATGTCTGCACTGGGAGGAAACTGAGAGCCTGTAAGTCCTGCCTCGTGTGTCTGGCCTCTTATTGTGACAAACACCTCCAGGGTCATTATGACGTAGCTCCATTAAAAAAACACAAGCTGGTGGAGCCCTCCAAGAAACTCCAGGAGAACATCTGCTCTCGTCACGACGAGGTGATGAAGATGTTCTGCCGCACTGATCAGCAGTGTATCTGTTATCTCTGCTCTGTGGACGAACACAAAGGCCACGACACAGTGTCAGCTGCGGCAGAAAGGACTGAGAGGCAGAGAAAGCTGGAGGGGAGTCGACTAAACATCCAGCAGAGAATCCAGGACGGAGAGAAGGAGGTGAAGCTGCTTCAGCAGGAGGTGGAGGCCGTCAATGGCTCTGCTGATAAAGCAGTGGAAGACAGTGAGAAGATGTTCACTGAGCTGATCCGTCTCATGGAGAAAAGAAGCTCTGATGTGAAGCAGCAGGTCAGATCCCAGCAGAAGAGTGAAGTGAGTCGAGTCAAAGAGCTTCAGGAGAAGCTGGAGCAGGAGATCTCTGAGCTGAAGAGGAGAGACGCTGAGCTGAAGCTGCTGTCTCACACAGAGGATCACAACCAGTTTCTGCACAGCTACCCCTCACTGCCAGCCCTCAGTGAACCTACACACTCATCCAGCATCAACATCCGTCCTCTGAGCTACTTTGAGGATGTGACGGCGGCCCTGTCAGCAGTCAGAGACAAACTACAGGACATCCTGAGAGAGGAATGGACAAACGTCTCACCGACTGAGGTGGAGGTTTTACTGTCAGCAGCAGAGCCCACCACCAGAGCTGGGTTCTTCAAATATTCACAGGAGATCACACTGGATCCAAACACAGCACACACACAGCTGGTATTATCTGAGGGGAGCAGAAAAGCAACACTCATGGAACAACATCAGTCTTATTCTAGTCATCCAGACAGATTCACTAGTCCTTTTCAGGTCCTGAGTAGAGAGAGTCTGACTGGACGTTGTTACTGGGAGGTGGAGTGGAGAGGGACAGGAGTTGATGTAGCAGTCACATACAAGAATATCAGCAGAGCAGGGAGTGGGAATGAATGTGGATTTGGAAACAATGACAAATCTTGGTCCTTAGAGTGTGACAAAAACAGTTATTCATTTCGTTACAACAGTATCAGCACTCCCGTCTCAGGTCCTCAGGCCTCCAGAGTAGGAGTGTACCTGGATCACAGAGCAGGTATTCTCTCCTTCTACAGCATCTCTGAAACCATGACTCTCCTCCACAGAGTGCAGACCACATTCACTCAGCCGCTACATGCTGGACTTTGGCTTTATTATCCTTATGGAAACACTGTTGAGTTTTGTAAACTCAAATAGCCTGAAGTCATTGGAGGAACTCTTCTACTTCTTAAACTCACCGTGTGTCCATCAGAGCTGATTGTTCATGTCTTCACTGTGCAGAGATCAGCTGTCAATCAAACATTATGGGATGTGCTTGAACATCTTCTCATGAGTTGTTCTGTAGATGTTGGACTTTCTTCCGGCTCCTTCCTGGGTCTGTTTAGCCATGGAGGCTGTCACTGCTCAGGAGGATCCTTGTTCACCTGTAAACTTTGCTCTAAATATTTGCTGGATATTTCTTTTGATTCATGTTATTGTTTCTCTTGTAATGCATGAGTCTTCAGAGACATTTATAATCACATGTATTACTTTGACAGATTACATGTTATTGTTGCTGCCCAAATTAACTAACAAATTAAACCCAGATGGTTATAACAATTATTTCATCATAACATGTTTATTTAAAATGATATTACTTACTGTCATGATCATAATCAATAAGTAAATCATGTATTGTTCTGTTTGAAATAGCTGAGATGAAACACATTCGTGGTGTGGATAAAGTGAAAGTGATCATGAAATCATTGAACAATAGTCATTGAACAGACTTTACTGATGGGATGTGTGATCAAATGAAATGTTTGGATAATTAATCAAGTAAAAACTAAAAAAGGATGTTCTTCTTGTATTATGTCCAAGGTGCCGTACGAAGCTGACATGTGGAAGTGATCTGAGACTATAACTGAGTTTCCTCCTGAAACAAAGCACAGTGTTCATCATCACTCAGTCTGACCCCTCCCTCACTAAAACGTCTTTGTGTGCATATATATCACAGGAGGGTTGCTTTAATACACATTTACTGTAGTTGTTTATACCTTTTTTAAACCTTTTCTTTGAAATATTAAGCTTCTTAAAAAAGCATTTTAATGGCCAAACTATCCTACAATTGAGGATTTTCCAGAGAGGGTTATTTGTGAATAAACGTCCCGGCTAGGAGCTGGCTGGTTGGTGCAAATATAATCAGATAAATAAAAGGTACATCTGTGTATCATCTGCATACAGTAGGTGATGGGGAAAATTATGTTGGTGCACCGTGTTTGACTATCCTTTTTAAAAATATATATATTCTAACATTTATGCTCTTGACTTTTTTTTATATATTTCAACATTTTACTCAATATGTTCCTTAGATAACTTTTCATTTTATTGTATTTTCTCCTCTTTGTGAAGCACCTTGAGATGAAAGTGTGCATATATAAATAAAATGTATTATTATTATTATTATGTTGGCTATGACTAGAGCCTAGCAGAAGTATAATGTAAACCTATTCCTATTATAACTACATGGTTTTATTAAATAGTACAAATATGTTTGTCTGTCCTGCAGACATGAAATAAATAGGACCTTGTGTTTTATGTCTCTATACTGACTATACCGTCTGTTATGGGTGAGGTGGGAATTATAAACCTTTTTATATTTCACATAAGGATATGGTTTAACTCAACAAAACAATATGTTATGGTCTCAAATTAGGTAACAGGATCCTCTATGCCAAAATCAGAAATTCAAAACACAATTAACTTAAAGGTGGGGTATGTAATTTTGGAGAAACCAGCTCGAGTGCGCTAGAATTTGAAAGTAGACAACCGAAAAAAATCTGCCACTTCCTTACAGAGCCCCTCCTCCAACACACATTGGCACATGACCAATGAGGGCACGAGATAAGTTAGTGCACAGATGGAAGGCTGACAGGCAGGTAGGCCATCCAGTTATTTTAGCCCGGCTCAGATGATTGGTTGTGCTTTTTACAGTTCCACGGCTTCCACAGATGACATTTTTTTAATGTATTTATTGTCAAAGCATTTCATGTATTCATTTCTATCGGGATGTTAAGAGCATTCCATGGAATATAACAAAAAGTGTTTCTGAAATAAATGACATACCCCACCTTTAACACACGTCTTTAAGTCATTTAAATATGAGCCACAGAGCAAATAAACTGAACAGTATTTTTTTTTTTGTATTATTTGACTTTAACTATATATATTTATTTGTTGTTCTTTTTTTTTCACTATATCTGCGTCTTTGAGCACCTGTAAAAGCGCTAACAAAATGTATCTATTATTATTATTATTAGTATGAAACGACATGTGAGGATTCATAAGGGTATAACAACTGAGTTTTATTTCATGTCAAAAGGAGAAGTTATGACAAACATTTAAATTATAAGTATATATTGCCCCTTGCATTTAATCACATGTAAAGTACTTTATATAATGTGTTTTTTCACATTATAATGCTATCTAAAGTCAAATGTCATTGCAAAATGTAGAAGTAATACAAATAATAAGTGTAGCTCAGAACCTTTTCTTATCAAGCTCCACTTTTGTGGAATCAGCTTCCAGTTTGTGTTCGGGCGGCAGACACCCTATCCGTTTTTAAGAGTGCGCTTAACACCTTCCTTTTTGATAAAGCTTATAGTTAGGGCTGATTATATTCAGACCCTAGTTTTGCTGCTATAGGCTTAGACTGTTGGGGGACACCTTACTTCTTCCTTCTCTCTGTCTGTGCCTGTGTACTCTCATGTTCTGAATAACCCAGCTTCCCCAAATGTCTTTTTGGTGTCTATCTACGCTGGGATCCTGAGTCGTGGCTGATCCTGTTGCTGTGGTCCTGTGTCCTGCATCCTGAGTCCTGGATCGCGAGCCCTGGATCTTGAGTTGTGGCTGTGCCTGCTGCTGTGGTCCTGGATCATGAGTCCTGGATGGATATCCTCGTGGATTCATATTCTTATTATAGACACACGCATTTCCAAACATTTGGACTACCTATGTTCTCTTCGATTTACACACGGCATCTATTGCACGTCTGTCCGTCCTGGGAGAGGGATCCCTCCTCTGTTGCTCTCCCTGAGGTTTCTCCCATGTTCCCCTTTAAACTGTGGGGGTTTTCTCTGGAAGTTTTTCCTTGTACGATGTGAGGGTCTAAGGACAGAGGGTGTCGTATTGTCATACTGATATTCTGTACAAACTGTGAAGTCCACTGAGACAAATGTAACATTTGTGATATTGGGTTATATAAATAAACATTGATTGATTGATCGATTGATTGATTTTAAGCCTGTTCTCAAAGTTTTTGGTTTGTTTAAAAACTTTTAAAAACAAAGATTTCTGTGAAAAAGTTTTAAATGTCTTTGAGTTGTTTTCCTTTTAGTTTACATTTATGTAAATCTTTTCAGTCTTTGCGGATGTGTTCATATCCTGCCAGACTGCAATTGTTTGAAATTGTGCATTGATCCTCTGTAATGGGTGTAGGTTGGCTAACTGGGTGCATGCTGAGTTGATTGAATGCATGTTTATGTTTTGAATCAATTGTAAAGAAAAACAATCAAATACAATGGCAACTCAAATATAACTAAAAGACAAATATATGGATTAACATTTCTAACATTTTGCGTTCCTATAATTGTTTGAAGGCAATCACAAAATATTGAATCGGAAGCTGTGTGTATTTATTTGATGTTTTCAAAAACAGTTGGGTTTATTAGAGGTTGCTTTTTGTCACCTTGTGTGATCTCCTGTCATTTCAGAGTATACCAATTTTGACAGATCTACCATCCTATTATGGCGCATTTCCACTACACGGCCTCGCTCGGCCTCGCTCGGTATGGCTAGGCCTCGTTAGGACTGACTCACTTTATGGCGCATTTCCATTACAGTTTAGGAACTGGGGTAGTTACTATAGTAACGCAGTGTAGGCAGAGCCGTGACGTCATCTTCAATGAGAACCCCAGAAAAACAACACAGCCGTTAGCTGTTAGCACTCAGAGCTCACAGCTCCTCATATCTGTTCAGAAACTAGACAAAAGTTAAACAAGTACAAACCACAGACTGCCTGTGTCATGGTGAATACAGTCGCTGCTTTATTTATGTCTGGATAGGCCGTTGTTGTGAGTGTGGACGGTCGGAGCATATACTGCGTTAGCTTAGCCAATCTCCATTTAGAAAACACGCATTTTAAAAGGTTTTTCGCCTGCCGTCTGTCTGCAGACTTGTCAAAGCATTAATTCATGGTTTTTACTAACCGGTATCAGTATGTTGTTACTTCGGCATCATTTTGAAACGTGTATTACAATTAAATCACGGTCAAATATGTTCATCTTGTTGTAGTTGTAGCCCCCTTGCCAGCGATTCGCTCTCTAGTTTAGCATACTCAGCCCGACTCAGCCTGGTTGTTCCTGGCCCGAGAACCACGATTTTATGGGGCCAGAAAAACTGTGAATTAGGACCCGCTAGCCGGTACTAGGCCAAGTGGAAACGCAACCAAAGACGGGCCGCTGATGTCACAGCTCTCTTAAACGGGGCTCCGCGCTGTAGTGGAAACGCGCCATTAGTGTCAGATCAAAACAACAGTCATTTCTGCAATGATTACAGTTGTCACAAATAATACCAACTACCAAAATTATATCTCCGTTTTGGTAAAGATGGGGTCTTAACATTGACATCACTTTACTTTAAAGGTGGGGTATGTAATTTTGGAGAAACCAACTCGAGTGCGCTAGAATTTGAAAATACACAACCGGAAAATATCTGCCCCTTCCTTCAGACTTCCTTACAGAGCCCCTCCTCCAACACACACGAACACGCACATGACCAATGAGGGCACAAGATAAGTTTGTGCACAGATGGAAGGCTGACAGGCAGGTAGGCCATCCAGTTATTTTAGCCGGGCCGGCTCAGATGATTGGTCGTGCTTTTTACAGCGCCACGGCTTCCACAGATGACATTTTTGTATTTATTGTCAAAGCATTTAATGTATTCATTGCTATCGGGATGTTAAGAGCATTCCATGGAATATAACAAAAAGTGTTTCTGAAGTGAATTACCTACCCCACCTTTAAGGTCACTGAATTTTCATTGGCAGTCATATTAGTTTATTACTCTCAAGTTCCTAAAGAGTTTGAAATAATCACTCAAAGATGAGCATTCAGTGAGGTTTCTGCATTGGCCATTTGTTACCATCAAGGTTGCATTACGTTTTATCAAGTTGGAGCTGTGTTAGTTAATTGCTCAGCCTTGTACCTTTTATCTGTTTCCGTGACTTTTATTCCTTCCCCTGCAGACCAGGATTAGAGGTATATGCATGCTTGGGGAGTAATAGATTACAAGTAACAGGATTCTGTAATCAGGATAGTAACAATGGTAACTGTATTCAATTACAGATACAAACAGAAAGTTACATTTCTAAAGATTGTGGATTACTAGCAGGATAGCAATGTTACTAAAAAACTAAACAGAGCATTTTGTGTTTATTGTAAAAGGATCAGATGTTATTTCTTCTACTTTAAATGTGAAACTATAACTACTGCCTGAATCTGCTTTATGGTTTTCACTTTCTTTGGTTCATTTGTTCTGTTTTTAATTCAGAAGGTGAACCTATATGTTTGTAAAATAGTGTGTGTGAGCTTAACTGTGTGTTTTAAACTAAAACAGAGCATTTTCTGTCAGCTCAGATTTTATTCCTGCTTTTCTAAACTGTAGTATGTGCTCGTGTGTTTCATTGTTGGTGAATAGGCTACTTCCAGAGGACACATTTTGATCCTTAATATCTTGTTTTTTAATTTTCTACGGTTAAATTGTTCTGTTGTCTTACATCAGGGGTGTCAAACTCAAGGCCCGGGGGCCAAATCCGGCCCGTGACTTCATTTTATGTGGCCCCACAAGAGCTTGCAAAGAATATAATATGTTTATTATACGGTTACACGCTACTTTACAGAAGCACGTTGCCCATAAACGACATGTCCCACAATACATCTCAAATTTGACTTTTTCTCAGAATTTGACTTTTTTTGTCCAAATATGCCTTTTTTCTTAGAATTAGCCTTTTTCTCATAAATAGATTTTTTTTTCAAAATGTCACTTCTCTTTTTCAAAATGTCACAATCAATGTTTTTCCAGAATGTGGCTTTTCTTTTAAAATCATATTGTGACATTCTTACTGAAGAGACTTGCAATTATTTGCTCTAGACTTCTGCTTTCAGATTTAGTTAATTATGAAGTTATATTAATTAATGATATAGTCTTAAAGTTACAACCGGCTCTTTGAGTGCAACCATAATGCTGATGTGGCC